AGATGAATCTTGCCTGAAAGCACAAAATACCAGAAAGATGTTTACCTGTGATGTATTACCTATGCAAAAGCATGTGACTGTGTGGGTCATATCAAATTATGAATAATATTGTGAAAAAGAGAAATTCCAGAAGACTTAATTGTGCTCATGTGGAATTTGTACATAGATTAACAAGCATTCTTTCAAATAGAATAAGGGGATAAGACTGGAGGTTCAAACCTACCAGCCACTCCTTGGAAAGAAGGTTGGGCAATCAACTTCCGTAGTGATACTGCCTCAGAAACCCAAGGAGGGGTTGCTATGACTCAGGTCCGACTCCACGGTACATAACAACAACAACAACAACATGTGGCTTAACATTAGGAAAAGTATGCATCACCATTGTATCCGTTCACTATACTTATTCAAACTGTATGCTGGGCAAATAATCTGAGAAGTGGACTATATGAAGAGGAACTCAGTATCAGGATTGGAGGGAGACTCATTAACAACCTACAATGTGTAGATGACACAACTTTGCTTGTTGAAAGTGAAGAAGACTTGAAGTACTGACGATAATCAAAGACTACAGCCTTCAGTATGGATTACACCTCAATGTAAATAAAATGAAGATCCTCACAACTGGACTAATAAGCAACATCATGAAAAACAGAGAAAAGATTGACATTGTCAAGGATTTCATTTTACTTGGATCCATAATCAACACGTATGGAAGCAGCAGTCAAGAAATCAAATGACATATTGCATTCGGCAAATATGCTGCAAAAGACTTCTTTAAAGTGTTAAAAAGCAAAGATGTCACTTTGAGGACTAAGACATGTCTGAACCAAGACATGGTATTTTCAATCATCTCATGTGCATGCGAAAGCTGGACAATTAATAAACAAGACCAAAGATGAACTTATTCCTTTAAATGATGGTGTTGGCAAAGAATATTGAATATACCATTTACAGTCAAAAGAATGAACAAATCTATTTTGGAAGAAGTATAGTCAGAATGCTCCTTAGAAGCAAGGATGGTGAGACTTCATCTCATGTACTCTGGACATGTTATGAGGAGGGACCAGTCCCTTGAGAAGGACAGCATGTGTGATGAAGTAGAGGGTCAGGGGGAAAAAGGAGGACCCGCAATAAGATGGATTGACATGGTGTCTCCAACAATGGACTCAAACATAGCAATGATTGTGAGAATGGTGCAGAATCAGGCAGTGTTTTTTCTGCTTTGAGAAGTTGGAACCAACTTGGTAACATGTAACAACAACAACAGAGTAACCTCCTTTCACAGTATTTTGTTTAATAATGTAACACAGCCTAGTGGCAGAGTGCCTAAGGCATTTGACTGTTAACCAGAAGGCTGGGGGTTCAAACTCAACAGCATCTCCAGAAGGAAGACTTGGCAATCTACTTCCATGGAGATACAGCATCAGAAACCCAAAGGGGGTCGTTATGAGTCAAAACTGATTCGACGGCAGTAAGTTTGGTTTTTCTTTCTCTTTTCCAATCTTGTTCCATCTAATATTCCTAGGTAAAGTAGAAGTGAATTTACTTTCACTCATTTATTTGTTCATTGATCCATTTTTCAACAGGAACTGTTAAAGTTGCTGGTGCTCCAGCAGTAAAGTCTTCATCATACATTCATTTTAGAAGGATGAGAAACAACCGATAATTAATTTAAAAACAAAGTCAGTTGTGCATTCAATTATAACAGGCAGTAATCTAGGAATAGAGTGAATGGACCTTCCTTAAACTAATAAAGAATATCTAAGAAAATATTCTATTGAAAAATTTCTCCTTGAGAAAAGAACACATTTATTAAAAAATTTCCACCTGAGATTAGGAATAAGATATGAATGCTAGCATCACCACTTTTATTTAATACTGTACTGGATATCCAAGCTAGTGCAATAGGAAAGAAAGAAAATCAATAAGCCTTGGAAAGAAAGAGATAAATTGTTACTATTCAAAAATTACATGGTTTCATACATAGAAAATCCAGAAGAATATAGAAACTATAGAATTAGTAAGTGAATGTAGCAAGATTGCTGGATAAAAGATCAATAAAGAAAATCAATTATATTTTTCATACTAGCAACAAAGAAATAGAAAATACATTTTTTTTTAAAAAAAAAAGACATTATTTACTATTGTATCAGAAAACATTAACTAAACAATACTGTAACTGTGGGAGCTCTGGTGGCATAGTGCCTAAGGCATTTGACTGCTAACCAGAAGGGTAGTGGTTCAAACTCACTAGTCACTCCTCAGAAGGAAGATGATGCAATCTACTTTCATAGAGATACTGCCTTGGAAACCCAAGGAGGGGTTGTTATGAGTCGAATTGACTTGATGGCAGTGACTGGGGTTTTTTTTTTTTTTTTCTATAACTGTACAGTTAACTAAACATTAACTATACAGAAATAAATCCAAAAATTACAAAGTTTCATTGAGTATAATTAAGGTAAACATAAATATATTTAAGAACTTGAGTATTCTAGTATGTGTCAGATTGACTTGATGGCAAGCAACAACACAATATTTAAGAAGCCAATTATCTGCAAGCTAATTTGTAGATTTCATGCAATTTCAATCAAAATTCTAGCAAGTCTCTTCATGGATATTGATAATGCAATTTTAACATTTTTACAGATATGTAAAGACCAGGAATACCCGAGGCAAATGCATAAAGACAAACATGTATTAGAGGTTACCAGGGGCTAGGCGGAAGAGAAAGTGGAGAGTTATTACTTAAGAGGTATTGGGTTTTTGTTTAGGGAGATGAAAAACATTTGGAAATGGATAGTGGTGCTGGTTGCACAACGTAGCAAATACAATTAATTTCATTGAGTTTTATCCTTAAAAATGAGTGAAAAGTCAAATGTGCTATATATATTTTACAATAAATTAGAAAGAGTATATACTGAATAAGCAATTAGATTTTCCCTGAAAATAACATTTATTAAAATAAAACACAAAATAAATAAAAATATTTTAAAAAATTACAAATGAAATCTTGAGGAAGACTAACATATTTAGAGTATTAACACTAGCACGCATCAATATTAATTATGTACAGTACATAAGGAAGTCTGAGGAGACAAATAGATCAAAGAAACAGGAAACAGAGTCAACACATATATGGTATTCTGATTTATGGTGATTTCACTATGATACAGTGAAGAAAAGATGGTTATTTTATTATTTGATGCCCATTAGATAACTTTATAGAAAAAAGAAGGTATTTTGACCCCTATCACATATATACACAAAAATTAATTTAATTTTTACTGGATATCTAAGTGCAATATTCCAGATGGATCACAGATTTATGAATTTTAAGAATGTAGGAAAATATCTTCATGATTTGTAGTATGCAAAAATTTCTCAAACATGACATAAAAAGCCAGGGGAAAAATTTTTAAATCAAACATCAAAATTAAAGTATTTATATTAATCAAAATCACTACTAGAAGAGTCATAATGCAATCTTAACAGTGGGAGAAAATGAAAGCATTTGTAACATATATAAATGACAGAGGACTCATTAAGAATATGTATTCATCAGAGGAATATAAATTAAAACCACAAGGTGATACTGCTACATGCCTACCAGAAACGCTAAAAGGAAAATGAGAAACACCACCAAGTGTTGGTGAGGAGGTGGAGCAAAAGGAACTCTTAACATACAGTTGGGAATATAAACTGTACAACCACATTGAAAATTTGTTTGGAATTACTTATTAAATCTGGTCATAAGTATGCCATTTAACTAGCAATTCCCTCCTGGATCATACTGAATAAAAATGAATGTTTATGTCCTCTGAAAAGGAGCTCTGGTAGTGTAGTGCCTAAGCCATTTGACTGCTAACCGGAATGCTGGCAGTTTAAACCCACCAGCCACTCCATGGAAGGAAGACTGGACAATCTACTTCTGTAAAAATTTACTGCCTTGGAAACCCAAAGGGTTCATACCAACATTATTCAAAAAAGCCAAAGGATGGAAACAACCCAACCATCTTCAAAAGAATAGTGACCCCTCCTTGGGTTTCCAGGTGGTATCACTACAGAAGTAGATTGCCCCATCTTCCTTCCGAGGAGTGGCTGGTAGGTTTGAACCATGAGCCTTTTGGTTAGCAGTCAAATGCCTTAGGCACTATGCTGCTAGAGCTCCCAGAAACAATTTAGTATGTTTAAATAGTGCAATAGAACAGAGCAATGGAAATGAAAGAATTATACTACACACAGTAACAGCTATGAAAATAAAATGTTGAACAAAACAAGCTGGATATATAAGACCCATATTATATGATTTCTTATACCTACCTTTCAAAGCCACACAAAATGAATTTATGATAGTAGAAGTCAGGATAGTGATTATCTTCGAGGGAAGCTAATGACTTTAAGGAGATGCAAGGGCAGTATTCTCTTTCTTGATCTGGATGATGGGTACAGAGCTCTGTACACTTTGAGAAAATTCACGGAATATCATACTTTTAACTGTGGACTTTTATGTAAACAAATTATAGATCAATAAAAAGAGAAATCTCATTATATAATACCGTAGTGAATAAACTTTCAAATTATTTACTATATTCTAAAGGTTAAATGTTATTATGTGCTGTCGAGTCAGACCTGACTCATAAGGCTAAATAATGGTATGTTAAATGGAGTTGAATGATATGAAGAATAATAAAGTAGGGGTATGACATGGGGGGAGCTATGGTGGTATAGTGCCTAAGGCATTTGACTGCTAACCAGAAGGCTGGTGGTTCAAACCCACCACCCATTCCTTGGAAGGAAGATTGGGCAATCTACTTCTGTAGAGATACCACCTCAGAAACCCAAAGAGGGGTCACTATGAATCAAATCAACTCAGCAGTGGGTTTGGTTTTTTGGTTTATGACATAGATAATGCAGGAAGGTGTGAATAGGTGGGGTGTGCAATTTTAAATAGGGTGGTCAGAGAATACCTCAATGAGAACAGTTAATTCTCTTTTTCTTACCTGTATGATAAAATTTCCCTGAAAATCCCAGGTTGAATGTAAAATTTGTGATTTGAGCACGCAAAAGATTCTGTGTATCAAGCAGGGCCTGAAACATATAATTAAAAACAATGCATCAAGCATAGAGTAGTATAGAGACATTTTCAAAAGGTTTCTTCCAGAAGATAAATCTATTCCTTTATACATAAGAGAACTAAATGATGAAAACTAATTTCTTTATCACCTTATGAATACAAACATGTTTGATTATATAAAACATGTATATTTATATTTAAGCTTGCAAGAAATTGGCAAAAAATGTGGAAAACTAGAAAAAAAATTAAATGAAAAGTTTATTTTATATGCATCAAAGGAACTACTATTTAGTACCTTAAATGTATTTGTCTTTGTGCCTCAGGGACACAGATCACTAACTGTCAAAATAAACTCTCTTTATGTGAAGCTACGTAAGAATATAAAGAACTTGGGTGGTGCAGTAATTAAAAAGCTTTGCTGTTAACAAAAGGTTGATGGTTTGAACCCACCAGCTGCTCCTCAGTAGTGAGATGTAGCAGTTTACTTCCATAAAGATTACAGCCTTGGAAACCCTATTTTTCCAAGGTAGGGGTAGTTCTACTCTATCAGACCATATTTTATTGCACTTTGCTTTATTGCACTTCAAAAATATTGCTTTTTTTAAAAAAACAAATTAAATATTTGTGGCAATCCTGTGCTAAGCAAGTCTATTGGCACCATTTCTTCAACAGCATGTGCTCATTTTGTATGTTGAAACATATGTATAGTATGTTCAAACAATGGAATACAACACAGCAATGAAAATGAAAGAATTAAACACAATATCTATGAAAATAATGTCAAACAAAGCAAGCTGGATACAAAAGAGTTCATATTGTACGATTTCCTTATACTCAAATTTCAAAGCCACACAAAACAAATTTATGATATTACAAGTCAAGATAGTGGTTCTTTGAGGGAAGCTAATGACTGTGACTCTGTGGCACATTTTGGTAATTCTCAAAATATTTCTAACTTTCTCACAATGCTATTGCAGACTTAGACAATGTGCAAAGATAAGTTTTGTATATACTGGGAAACCAAAAATTTGTGTGATTTGCTTAATTGTGATATTCGCTTTATTGAGGTAATCTGGCACCAAAGCCACAGTATCTCTAAGGTATGTGTACACTGGGCTGCTATGAATCAGAATTGATTGTACAGCAACAATTTTTGTTCTTGTTCTTTCTTTTTTTGTTGTTGTTTGTTTTTGTTTTCTATGCAAGAACACACGTTGAACATACACTAATCATACGTTGAAGTAAATAAATTATTTCTCAGATTAATCTTTAGTTTTCAAAATATAAGACTTTTCAATCTTTAAGTCTGAGATTTCCAAAATATAGTAATTGTTCTTCAAAGGGTATAACGGCAAAGTAGATCTTCAATATGCCCTTTCACTGAAAAACAGACAAAGAGATCCTATTTCTGACAAGTATAGCTCATTTGGAGTAGGATTTATTAGTGTTATATCCTATAAAGTGTTTACCATGCTATGTTATTTATTAGACTTATTTTCTTTCTCATTCTTATTTAAATTCTTATCCCTCCTTTTCCTTTCCTCCCCTCTTTCACTCTCTCTCTCCCACACACATATAAACACACACACACATATACAAACACACACACAGATGACTTCTCATGTCAAGGAAGCAGAAAGTGACGATAAATGTTAGATTTGTAAAGGCTCTGAATGCTTATTTTACACACAAGAAAACTGAAACAGGAGAAATGACTACCCATTTTTCACAGTTAAAATTAGTTTTATATCCTGGATTAATGACATAGATTGCTTGATTTTAAAGTAGGTGCTCTTTCTATTCTACCACACCATCTCCTCTTTGCCCCTATCCATAAGTACAGCTGGGCCCACAACTAAATCTTATTTTCTTGCCGTATAGCTGATACCTGGAAGCCCTGCCCCATTATGTGCATGGTCTCAATTTTTTTGGGGGATATACAGTTGAAAACTTTCATGCAGTATTCCATAAATACCTGTGGATGCAAGGGACTCTCCCTGTTGTGAAAAAGCAGAAGGGAATTTCTGAATAAATTTAAATAAATAAATTTAAATTTATCCAATGAATGCTGTTTTCAAAAATGAGGTATCTAATTCTTCTTTCTTTACAATCATTCTTTTCCTATGAGCAACTGCTTTGTATCACATTCACATAATGGCATTTGTATTGGGGATAGATTAGGTCTTATCATTACCAAGTGCACACAGGTTGGGCAAAGGAAGAAGAATTTGATCAACTGAGTAGTGATAAAGTAAGGAATGGATTTTCCAAGTGGCACACTGGGCCCTGGTGTATGAAGGTTGGGGGAGGAGTTATGACTGGGTGCAAGGTGTAAGCTTTTCTTTTTCCTTAAGGAAGGAGCATTAGAGAGGTATCTTGAAAGCTTGGATTTAAATTCAAGTTCTGGAACTTACAGCATATTCACTAAAAGCACAGGCTCCAGAATCAGATTGTCTCAGCTAGAATCCTTGATCTGCTACTATTCAGCATTGGACATGTTATTAAAATTTCCAAGACTCGGTCACATTGTGTGTAAAATGGCACTAATAATAATTACCTCAAAACTCTATGAGGTAATTGAATTTGATAATTCATTTATGTTCTTGATATAGTGACTGACACATAGTATGAGTTCAACAATTATTAGGTCCCTGTGATGGTTAATTTATGTGTCCATAAATTATGTGGTTATGGTGCACGGCTGTGGGATCAAACACTAGTTTAAATGCAGTTATAAAGGAGTGACATATAAATTAAATTAGTGGCCCTAAGTAAAGCAAATTACCCTCCATAATATTGGTGAGACTCATCCAAACAGTAGAAAGTTTTAAGAGGAAAATGGAAGTTTTCCTTAAGGGGTATTCTGTTTCCAGACTACAAATAGATATCTTGCCAGAACTACTCTCTTCACTCTTTCCATCACTTAACCTATTGATTTTGGGACACAATACTACAGGGATTTCCAGCATGTCATTAACTTATGAATTTTGGACTTGTCAGCTCACTGCAATTGCATAAGCCAGTTCCCCAAAGTAAATCTCAATCTTTCTCTCTCACTATGTATATATAGTAGTTGAGTCAATTCCAACTCAGAACCCTATATGACACTGTATAACTGCCCTATATGGTTTCCTAGACCATAATCTTATGGAAGCAAATCTTCAGGTCTTTTTTCTCTCTCTCTTCTTCACTCTCTTTCCATCTCCATTTCTATCTCTCTCTGCATGTAGAGGCAGTCCTCAGGGTATGAACAAGATCTATTCCTAACCGTGTCTTTAGGAATTTGTAGGTCAGTAGGAAAATATATATATATATAATATATATATATATGCATACGGTTCATACTTAGCCATATTTTAGTGCATGAAAACGATCAAAGGCTTTTCAATGATTTAATAGCTGCACATACAAGTGAACATGATTGTGCTGCAGAATTTGTTGCGAGTAGAGGTTGGTTCAATCATTTCAAAATGAGGGCAAAGTTATATAACATTAAGGGGCAAGTGGGAAGGGGCCTTAAATTGGACATTCATAGCATGGTGACTGTGTGTATATATATGTATTACATATCTTTGTATCTTATGGGTTCTGTTCTTCTAGAGAACCTTGACAAAATATTACAAAGATATTACTGCTTTTCTATTATTACTCTTTCTACTATTTCTACTACAAATCTGTTTGTTGTTATTGTTAGTGAAGTCAGATCATTTATATTACCTCTCTGAATATTTCTCTTTTTTGGTAAATTCGAGATAATTATTGAACTCATAGAACCATGATGAGGATTACTAAAGATAATATGTGCATAAGTGCTTGGTTAACTTTTTAAAAACTACTTTAAAATATTAAATGTTTATATTATAATTATCATATGGGCTTATATATTGTTGGATGCCATTAAGTCAGTTAGGACTTATACCCTGTGTACAACAGAACAAAATAAATCCTGGTCTTGCTCCATCCTCACAATCTACCTGTCTCTCTCTCTCTCTCTCTCTCTCTCTCTCTCTCTGTGTGTGTGTGTGACTATGTAAATGTACACATATGAATATTGGATAAACCATGGACTTCCAGGAGAACAAGCAAATCTGTCTTAGAGGAAGTATAGCCTTGAATGCACCTTAGATGTGAGGACAGTGAAAATTCATTTCATGTACTTTGGACATGTTATCAGGGGGAACTAATTCCTCGAGAAGGACATCATGCTAGGTAAACTAGAGGGTCAGTGAAAAAAGAGGAAGACCCTCAATGAAATGACTGAAACAGTGACAGTAGCCTCAAACATAGCAAAAGTGGTGAGGATGGCACAGGACAGGGCAGCGTTTCATTCTGTTGTACAAAGAGGTGGTATGAGCTGGATTCAACACGATGGACCCTAACAACAACAAATACATATGCAGGTGTTTGTGTGTCCATGTGTCACAGTTGTAGGTTGGAGATATTGTGGGTTCAGTTACAGCCCACTGCAATAAAGAGAATATTGTAATAAAATGAATCACATGAATTTTGTGCTTTTCCAGTGCATGTAACAGTTAAGTTTATACTATGTTGTTGTATTGTTGTTAGTTGCCGTTGAGTTGATTCATAGCGACCCTATGTACAACAGAATGAAACACTGCCCAGTCTAGTGCCGTTTGTGCAATCCTTTCTGTATCTGATCTTATTGTTGCAGCCACTGTGTCAATCCACTTCTTTGAGGGCCTTCCTCTTTTTTGCTGTCCCTCTATTTTACCAAGCATGATATCCTTCTCCAGGGAATGGTCCTTTCTGAAAACATGATCAAAGTAGGTGAGACCAAGTCTGGCCATTCTCACTTCCAAGCAGTATTCCATCTGCACTTCTTCCAGGACAGATTTTGTGTTCTAGCAGTCCAGGGTACTTTCTGTATTCTTCACCAACATCACAACTCAAAAGCATCAACTCTTCTTCAGTCTTCATTATTTGTCTAGCTTTCACATGCATATGAAGCTATTCAAAATACCAGAGCTTAGGTTAGGTGCACCTTAGTCTTCAA